ATTGTGTAAAAGTAATAATATGCAAATCGAACTACCCGATATATATTAATTCTCGAATGGAAATGGCAGAAGAAAAAATTAGAAAGCAGAAGTATTATTATTTGGTGAAAATATTTTACGATAAATTTTTGCTTTTATTTCAAAGTTTACTACAATATTTTTATATAAAATTAATCAAAAAAATCAATTATTTTCTCTCAAACGGTTCATCAATGTCCTCCATTGATTGTATGACTCATTCTATAAGTTTCAAAGATTACTTGAATATATTATCGAAATAATGGAAAATGTGTAAGGCAGTTAACTTGTTAAATGTAGTGGGCATATGCATGAAACCCGTTGCCGAGCCGCGTGCCCTGTTGTGTTCATAAAACTAAGAATGCGCTTAGGTATCATGGTATTATAACCCGCGAGGTAATGAGTATTTTATCGCATTGTCTTCGGGGTCATAGTTCTTAAGTTAATCATTCGATATAAACTATATAAAATTTGACCATATTGAATTTTGAATGCAGCTAGCGGCATTATTTTAGGTCTCATTAAAAATTCTACTTCGATGACTTAGTTTGTTAAGTTATATTTTAACCTTATAAATATCTAAACAAAATTTATTTAAACGAAAAATTATAAAAGGATCTTGTTTGACTATTTATAACAATATAACAATGATTAAAGGCAAAGAACTCAACACACTGCGCGGCTAAAATCTCTTTTATTTAGATAGTATTTCCAAATTTCTCATAAAAGAATAAAAATCACTCTTTATAATTTTTTCCCCAATTCAATTGATTTAGTTTTTAATTTTATTTTTAGTTTCCAACGAATGAAGGCTAGAATTGAAGCCGAAACGTATGTATATAAAATAAATTTTTGAAAGAAATTATTTTACATCCATACTTTTAGAAGGCAATCATAATAAATTTTTTAACTTCCCGAAGGAGAAGTTTATGTTTTCATAAGAAAATCCAAATCGCTAATTTTATGTTTTCTCGACGTTTCAAGCCATTCTGAATCGAATGAGACCAAATTTGGAAAAAGTATGTGTATGTGTGTGTGTGTGAACAGATTTTTTTTCCGTAAATCGATGTTTTCTCAAAATTGGCTGGACCGATTTCAAAAATTTAAAAGCCATTCGATGTATCTATTCGAGAACTATTGTTTTGTGCGACGATCGGCCAAGCCGTTTCTTTACAAATCGCAGAGAAGTGAAAAAATTTTCGTCTACGTTTTAGCCCGCAATTCTGAATCGATTTTGAAAATTCAAAAACCGTTCGAAAGATATTGGTTGGGAATCGTGCTGATTAGTTTTTGGTAGAGATCGGCCGGGCCGTTTTCTTGTAATGTGTTAAAAAATTTAAAAAAAATTGTTTCGACGATTTTTATTATTATTTTTTTGACGGTAGATACCATAGTCTTCTAGATCATACTAAAACATTACGGCCCTACGACAACTCGTTTAACTTTAAAAATTCGTCAAAGTTTGCAAAAATTGGTATCGTTTTTTTGGCATTTATCAAAATTAGACTTTTCATCGACGTTTTCTCGAAAACGCCTTAACCGATTTCAGAAATTTAAAAGCCATTTGATATATCTCGATGAGGACTATCGTTTGTCAATTTTGTGCGACGATCTGCCAAGACGTTTCTTTGTAATTTCGAAAAGAGTATTAAACTTTTCGTCCACGTATAAGCTCAAACTACCGAATCGATTTTAGAAAATCAAAAACTGTTCGACAGATATGAGTTGGGAATGATACTGACTAGTTTTAGGTAAAAATCTACCGAGCTGTTTTCTTGTAATTAACTGTAGAAAAAAAAAGTAAACCGATTTTTGTGGAACTTTTTTTGGCGACATATATCATGGTCTTATAGAACTTACTGAAATATTACGACCTTACAACAAGTAGTTTAATTTTAAAAATTCATCAAAGTTTGAAAAAATGAGTAGTTCTTTTGACATTTATTAAAATAAAAATTAGACGATTTACTTGGTTTAACGATAGAATACTTGGTCTTAATGAACATAATAAACAATTAAAGTCCTACAAATGGCTCAATTATAAAAATTATTGATTTTTGAAAATTTGCTTTTAGAAAATACTCCGAGTCAAAGTGTTTGTCCGTTTTCAATTATGTGTAATAAATCCACTCGGAATACTTTTAATGACTCATAAATTAATTTATATTTTATTGATTAAGTCGATTATTTACACATATCGGGAAGTTCATGTAACTTGCCTCAAGGCAAAATATCAAACCAACTAGCTTCAAATAGTGATGATGACTTCTAATCGTATCAAATATTATTTATAGAACTCTGCACATCAGATGCAATGTTTTCCTTAATTATGATGGCACATATACAATATTCTAAATAAATCTTCTTCCTCTCCTCAGGTGCAATATAAGCGTCATTCGCACAGCAGCGACTGGATATTAGTATCGAATAATATATCGCCTCAGGCTCACTTCCCGATCGTGGACCTGGCGCACTCGACGGGTTACGACCTCAGGGTCACGGCCCACAACAACGCGGGCGCCACGCAGGCCGAATACTTCTTCGAGACTCTGCAACCGGATAAATGTAATAATTATATTTATATTATATAACTCACCCTAGAACATTTATCTAGACTTCAGAGGAAGGACAAGACATTATTTAGATTTTTTTTATGGAATGTGCATCTCTTTTATAAGTGTATTACCATCTGAGATACAAGGACGTTGTGCAGGCCTAAAATCTATTTTTGGGAATTTGAATGATAAATGAACAACTAAATACACTTACCTGTAAAATGAGCCTGGTGATATTTCAAGTTAAACCCCTACCCTTCCCCACCCAACATCGCGTATACCTAGAAAAAACGTAAAATTTTTGATTTTTTTTTTCTGAAAAATACTAGATTTTTTAAAATTCAGACAGAAATAAATACACGTGATATATTGCTAATATTTCGAGATTTATTGTCTTATTAAGCTTAGGGGGCGTCCATTATTTACGTGATCGATTTTTTAACAATCTTTGGACCCCCCCCTCCCCCTCGGTGATACTTGGTAATATTCAAAATTAAATTTAAAAAATCTCTTTACATGTACACACACATATACACACACATACTTTTTCCAAAATTGGTCTCATTCGATTCAGAATGGCTTGAAACGTCGATAAAACATAAAATTGGCGAATCGGATTTTTTGATGAAAATATAAACTTTTCCTTCAGGAAGTTGATTATAAATATTATTTATACTTTCGTTAAAAACAAAAAACGACAAATATACTCTGATTTCAGTTTCCATTTTTGTCTCTCAAAATATTCCTATATAATATTATCAAACATAAAAATATTTTACATATAATATTCCTCAAAAATTCACTTTCCGTTTCTATAATTTACATAATCTACATCATTTGTAAAGATTTACTCTTTGACCGACTGACGATAATTAACACTTATTAAATATGTAAGAATAATTAGCACTTTTGCTAATTTTGTAATTGAAAAAAATTAGATCATTGTGTAAAGCATACAAAAGACCACTTTTTTGCAGACGGAATTATTTTTAATTCTATTGTGTGCGAACAAAATTTTAAAAAAATGTCTGCCGTTTATAAATAGAATTATGAATTTCGTGAAGTATTGCATCAAGAATTTTACCCAACAGAATATGAAACGATATGAGAATTTTGAAGTTTATAGAAGAGTACACGTTAATTTTTGTGATAAAAAAAATCTTGGATATTTACTATTAAATATTAAAATTATGACTATGTTTTTTTTTATTTTCAGTGCATTCGGATGCCGATGGGATTTCGCCAGACACGTCTCAAGATGAAAGAAACATTTATCTAGACGCAAGTGTCCTTGCTCCTACGATAGTCTCAATAATCATTGTTTTACTTGCAATGATTGGTGTGGCTATTTGCTTAAAATTCAGTAAGTCTATAAAAAAATATAGAATTTTTTACTTATTCTGATTATAAGACTTAATCCAAAAAACATGAGTTGTTTTCGTTGTCCTTTTCATCATGTGAAGGAAAAAGCAGCGTTTTTACATTATTTTACCTATTAAGGGGGTATTCTGGCTTAGAGTTTGTAAAAAGCAATTTAATTCAAGAATTTTTTTGATATATTCTAAGTTTAACTATTTGAAAATATGTGCATAAGAGGATTTATCAAAAATTTAAATTATTTTCGAAGATATAGCTGTTTGACCACGACAATCCTTCTCTATTTCTTTTCTCCGCAAAACTTTAACTCTTTGCAGTCCGTTGTCGCTTTATTTGCGCCACTTTACTATTGAAATATTGGATTCATGGAGTGCAAAGGGTTAAATACGGTTTTTTTTCGAAACTGTCTTTTTTGATACGATACCCACGATTTCTCAACTTCTACTAGACCGAATTACTTGAAATTTTTTCAGAGTCTCGTTTATAGACCGATTTTTACTATTTTTTTAAAAAATTGAGAATATCAAAAAAGTTGTGAAAAAAAATTTTTGTTTTTCAGCAACTTTCAATATTTTTCGAAGATGCAACCTATTTCAGAACACTTTCGATTATTGCTTTTCGACAACGTTCAGTTCCATTCATTGGTTTCAACTGTTTATTACTGTTTAGACACCGAAAGATCAATAGTGAATCATCGTTCTTCGATTTCTTATTGCGAAGTTCAACAAGAGTTTGAAATGATATTAAGCATTTATTTATTGAGTATTGCATGTATTCTGTTCATCCCGAATAAACTTGTTCTGATGACTAATCGCCGATATTTGTGCTGACCTTTACCGATCTCTTAAGTATGTAAAAACAATCATAAGGTTGCGGTGTTAACTGCCGCATCGCAATTAAATTACACAATAATTCGATGCTGATTTCTAATTGCATTACATTACATTAATTCTTATCATTGATGAAGGCTATTCGGCATTCATTTAATTGTATGATTGTATGAATTTTCAGATGCCCGTCGGCTGAACATGCGTCGTGGTAGCCAAGGACTTTCCCGACCGCATATCACGGTTAACGACAAGGAAATGGTCGCCCAGAGGGAACAATACTATTCGGCGGTCAGGAAGCCCCTCGCCCAGAGCCCCTGCAGGGACAGCAACGCCTTGGAAAGGATACCGGAGTAAGTGGGGGAGGAAAATATCTCTATTTTTAACTTCACATAGGAGAAGTTTATGTGCACACCAGAAAATCCGGTTAATTGGCATTTTATGTCGTTTCAAGTCATTCTGAATCGTTTGACATAACCAATGATGCATAGCATCGTGCTTTAAGGCAACTTGCTGGAACGGAATTTTGTTTTAATTTTTATGAAATTTTAAGAAAGTAACATTGTTATGAAAATTTGGATCTTTTTGATAAAATCGACTTTTTTACTGTTGAAAATGTAGAACTATATAAGTGAACCCAAAGAAATGGAAACAAAGTTTGTACTTATTATTAAAATATCTGATAATTTGATGTGCATATGTCTAATAATTATTTTTGACCGTCGAGTTGATTTTTTTTTCAACTTTTTTTCTGGACCTGTCTTCAAAAAAATTAATTAATTCTTCATTCCATCAACATAGTGAAATGTTTTTTTAACTTCTCGTATGGTAAGTTATAGTAAGTACCATTTTATGGAGTGCATTCTATAAATAACTGTATGTATATTTGATTAAAACTCAATAGTATAATAATTTATGATGATTTATTAGACATCAATCTAAAAAGATAATTTTATACAAATTTTTGTTTTACAATATATATGTCAAAGCACGCTAAATTTTTGATTTGGAGCAAATTTGCTCCATAAATGAAATTTTTATATATCTTTACGTTTCAGAGGTTTCTGAACATTTTGGCATACCTTAGAAAAAAATAGATGTATGTGTATGTGCGTGTGTATGTGTGCGAATACAAATTTTCGTCGACGATTTTGCGAACACGGATCAACCGATTTGAATAATTCAAATAACTTTCGATTATTGATAAGGAGACGTGCTGATTAGTTTCTGTCAAAGGCAGGTCTAGCCGTTTCGGAGATACGGGGCAAAAAATGCCAAAAATGGTATTTCAGTTTTTGAGATAACGGAGAGTCCGATTTAATTAATTCAAAAAACAATTTACTTGTATTTACGAAATGAACAACCGGTGAAATTTTTGTAAAGGCAGGTCCAGCGTTTTCGGAGATCTAATAAAAAAAGCAAAAAATAATGTCATTTTGCGGTTAAAAATGAACATTAGACATATGTACATCGTATTATCAGATATTTTATAAAAATTATATTTTGTAAAAATTGTGTGTACCTTTATATGGGTTCCGTACCAATGTTTACATGTTAGATGACTACGCGGCGCTTACGCGCTTTGATATTTTGACTCCAAATCAGCTATGCAGCGCGATTGCTTGAAAAGAATATTCAAAATTTTCAAAAAAAATCAAAATATAAAAAAATCTAAATTTTTAAAAAAGTCAATTTTTTTTCAAAAATTTCAAAATTTCTGAAAAATCTAATTTTTTCAAAGTTTTTTATAATAATTTAGTTTATGGTACGTGAAGTTCCAGCAAATTACCTTAAGGCACGATGTCATGCACTACTAGTGAATCATTCAGATCGGACGCTCCATTCTCTCAAAAACTGAAATGCCATATTTTGCACATTTTTCGAAACGGCTGGACTTGCCTTTACAAAAAACAAATCAGCATGTCTTCCCATCTATTAAAACTGAATGTTTTTTGAATTATTCAAATGGGCTTATCCGTGCTCGTAGACAGATATTCATTTTTCTAAAGTATGCCAAAAAATTCAAAAAACCTTGAAACATAAAGATATACAAAAATTTTCATTTTTATTTTTTTGCTATTACTATAACATACCCTACGGGAAGTTAAAAAGTGAAAAATTCATGAGTGTGTGTATGTATGGGAGCCAAATTTTGTATTTCCTTCGATGTTTTCTCAAAAACGCAGTGCTTCTTACAATCGCACTTATATACGTTTATTTTTTTAAAAATAGATGAAGATAAGTTTTTGAAAATTAAAAAAGAACTATTTTCTGTACAATTGCCATTTTTATAAAATGAAAGTGTCTAGAATAGTTTTATCGTTTTTCATAAATTTGCCGATAGCGAAACAGCTCGCATTAATCTTTAGTAAATACTCACTTATATTGAATTTCATATGGATAAAAAAGATAAAAATTATCACTATTGATAATATTATGAAGATATTCAAGGGCGATAAATTTCATGAAACATTGACCCCAAACACATATATTATGCAATAATTCAAAATTAAATTTGTACGCAAAAGTTGTATAGTGAGTGTCGCATGAAGTTGCCTTAGGGTCAATTTTATTTTATCCTTTTTCATTTGAACATCTCGTGAGGTAGTGGCAAAGAACGTTAGGTTCGATTCTACCCTCGGCAGTCTCGGTATCAAGCAGTATAATACTAGATTTTCACTTGACATTTTTTTTTATTCATAGGTATTCAGAGGACATTTATCCGTACGCAACATTCCACTTACCAGAGCAAGAGAACATGTCTGCGAATTCGATGCGATCATGCGTTTACGATTCGAGGGACACAATATCGACGAAACAGGTAATTTGTTTAAAAAAAATTACGATGTAGCCTTAGTGCACATCTAGCAAATATAAAAAACATAGAGAATAAATAACAATAACGATTAATTGTACACAATTAATACATTTCAGTTGTTATCTGTTCCCCATGTATGAATTATTATAATAAGACCTTCAGATTTGTATTATTAATTTGTTATATATTTTTTCGATAGATTCGTCGAGCTTCTTCCGGAATGGGATCTCGATCGAAATCGAAATCTTTCAAAGGCGAAACTGAAGAGTATGACAGCTTGGGTTCCGACAGCGATACTCCGAGCGGGGAACAAGGTAAAACTTTATATTTCAGAGTGTCCCAGAACTCAACGACAAGTCGAAGCTGGGTGACAGTAATTATTTTAAAGTTATTATTTTTTTACTCATTTTTATTATAAAACTATCAAGCATATTTTCGTTATAAAATCCTGACTAAATGTGCCAACTTTTGATAAAACTGATCAACACAAATAGCACTTGCCGAATTCATAGTTCAACAAAAAGTCTTAATACCTAAAAAGTTGAGGCAATTGTGTAATGATATTTGAAGGTGGTCCTAAAAATGTTATTTTCGATTAAGGATCCAAAACTTAAATGGAAATAAAATTAACAACATAACTGTAAAATGGTCACATTTTCACCAAAGCTCTAGGTTGCATCTGAAAGATCATAACTTTCAAACTACGTGAGGTCATTTTTTTAACTCTACGGGATGGATTTGATCATAACTGTTATGAAAAAATAGAAAAAGATATCTCAAGTAGTTTGAAAATTATGAGCTTTTAAGTGCAACCTAGAGCTTTGGTGAAAATGTGACCATTTTACGTTTAAATATGCGGTTTATTTTTATTAATAATTTATTCATTTAAGTTGTGGATCCACAATCGAAAATAACCACCGTTAGTCAAAAATCATTACACAATTGCTCCAAGTTTTTAAGAATGACTACTATTTGTTGACCCATGAATTTAAAATTTTAAAAATCGATCAATTTTGAAAGCTCTTTCTTAAAAAAATGCAACAAAGTGTGTTGGCAAGTTTCATCAAAAGTTGGCGCACATATTCACGATTGTAAAATAGTGAAATACTTGATAGGTTTATAATAAACAAATGAGTAAAAAAAAAACCTAAAACCTCGGTTCGGCTTGACGTTGAGTTCTGGGACACCCTGTAAATATATGTACTACAATATTATATTCTATAATATTTTCTATTACCGTAAAATTGTATTTGTAATTTGATTTTAATCAAAGACGTCAAAAATCGATTGCATCTACGTTTTCGTATGTAATATTTGTCGTACAATTTTTATCTTTATTTGAATTTTATGCTCTACATAAAACCGTTTATAATATGTCGTTGATTATTTCGATATCAGGCGATAAGTTACGTTTATTGATTTTATTTGTAAACTAACAAATTGAATAAATTGAACAAATGAAATGTACGATAGCAAATAATGTTATCGATAAATCAAAGAATTCTAATAGTTATAACCGGTTATCAAACTGTTTCGAAAATCATTCAAAAAACATACAACAAAATGATACGACATAATTATAGCATTTAATATATAGTCACTATATTACATGATAAGATCTAATTGTTTAAGTTTTTCTAGGTAGCTATTGTTATTTATGATTGCTAATTTTTTTAAATAAAAGCCTACTTTTTCTGCAAAACACTATTTAAGTTTTAATCTAATTATTTAATTTTCCTTTTTTTCAACGAATTAGATAAAACAATTGCGCATAGTTTTTTATGCAATCATTCAATCTTGACTTGATGAGTCAATTTAGCTCATTTGCAAAATAAACAAAAACTACGACGTAATATAAAACTAAATGCAAACGTCATTATAATTGCAAATTGATTATTGCTGATATTACTTAATACGTTTGTATGAGAATATTTTGTCATTGAGACTCGTTTTCGAAGAAATTTATGAAATGAAAATTTGTTGAAGGATTACGAAATCTTGTATTAACTCTCTGTATCTTGTTGACTTGATAATTGACCCTTTACTTTAAAATTATGATATATTAGGTATTTTTTAATTTTAAGTTCCAGCAATTTGCCTTAAGGCACGATGCCATACACCACTAGTTTATTTCTTATTCATCAACCTTCTCGATTATTCAAATCTCATCATATAGACTAAGTAGCAATCAAGTTCTTAGCATGCAATTAGTATGATTAATTACGCTTTTAATTTGAATCGATTATTGAATATTGAATAACTAATTATCTATTAATATAATAATTTGTTATTAAAATATATAATTTATATGAAATTGATATTTCAGCCCGCGGTTATAGCCCGAGAGTGCGGTCGTCGGAGAAAGAAAGACGATCGTATGTGCAGCGACCGGTTCATCATAGTAAGTTAGTATTATTCTTTGAAAACTAATGTAAATATTGCATGTTCAATATTAGATGCTTAATGTTTGATGTTTGATGTACAGAACGATAACTAATAACGAATAATAATGGTTTCAAGTAACCTATAGAGCTATTCTGTGGAGATATTTATCAACGCTAATCGAAAGCGTATACAGCTATTAGAAGCCGAGAGAGATTCAGAATTTTGTGAAACCAAGACCAACAGGTCTGGAAAATAGATTTTTTCGTAAAAACATTGATACAGAACAACAATGTCGTTAACTGAATTTAAAAGTTCACGAAATCAAAAAATTATTCATGGACATTAAAATTCTTATTTCATAGCCTATAATCAATCTTATAATTAAATAGACCGCACGATTTGAAGAAATTAATATATTTCAAACAAATCTATAAATGCAATTCATTTTTTAAAACTTTCATTAATTTTTATAATTAAACCACTTCTCGTAGGCCTATAATATTTTAAACTGTTCTGTTTTACTATCAACTTCATCACCAGGCGAAGTTGCATCAAAATCCCAGAAGACTAACCTGATATTCTCCTTGTTAGTATATATTTTGTATAAATCGTATGATACATTGTTGGAAATCAGAAATCTTGAATAAATTAATTTAGTTTATATTTATATGCAAAATAAAATATCAAGACTTTTATCTGAAGTAATTGAATTGTATATGCATATTAAGAGTATACATTATAAATCGATTTTAACGATAATATGACTTGTAAGTTTTTTCGATTTGATAAATAATGCACTACTACGTGTAAGGTCCTTATAGATGGCAACCCAAATGGTTGTCCTATCTCTATGCGATAAATTTATTATTACAATTGAATTAATTACAATTATTATTGAAGCATCAAATAAGGCAACGTCTATTAATTACGTGAGGCTTTCAGGGAGAGCGAGGGTATAACAAAAAATTACCTTGAAGAGAGAGGGGTCTAGTAAGATATCACGTGTATCTATTTTTGAACCAAATTTTCAAAAAAGAACAAAAATTTTGAGTTTTTTTTTGAATTCGGAAAATTTGTTCAGAAAATTTTACGTAACCAAAAATACACGTGATTTTTTAATGGGGAAGAGGAAGGTAATTCTAAATATTACGACGTACCACCAAGAGGCAAAAATCCCTAAAAAATTGATCACATGATTAATGGACGCCCCCTAAGGCTATTGCCCCAACTGCTAAATATTTTCAAGTGAAAACCGATGTCACTACTGCTTGACATCAGACTGTCCGAGTGGACATGGACCGACCATGCTCATCCACTAATCCTCGGTAGCCTTAGTCATAATACAATAATCGTACTGATATTTGCACGCATTTGCATAAGCTGCTCTTGAATATTCTTTTATTAGATAAATCGAATTATGTAATGATGACAGTTATTATGTGGCAAATCAAATGAAATACAAATACAATGCATGTATTTACTGCTCTTTTGCTACTGTCACGGAATGTAATAATGTAATAATGTTGTGAAACGTGATGCGTTTAGTAATGACCATGATACATCTTATAGGTGCCCTGTTTCACAATCGAGAAACAAACATATCAGCAGATCCAATTACTGAAGACTCGACAATAGAAATTAGCAGAGTTAGGTAAGATAATTTAATAGTATCTTGATGTGGTCATTTTGTTTTGTACTGCTTGTTTGATGTCGCAAAATGTTAGATTTTTGCATAAATATATGTGCAACTTTTTATTTTTTATGTATTTATTCATCCTTGCAAGTACGTATTGTTCATTTATTCATCATCAGCTTTCTCCATTATTCAAATCGAACCATATAGAATTGATTAATCGTTCGATTTAATTATTGATATTTTGGTATTTCCATATTTTGATATATTTATACATTCAACCCTCCAACAACACGGTCAACGCGTACTGTGTAATATGGAAACGTGCTATACGAAACTCGGATTTATAATATAACTTGGCATGTTAATATGCATGGCATCATAATACCTTTTACAACATCTACTAGTCATTTATAGGTTGTCTGAAAGGTTTCTATGGGCTGTTGAACGAAAACCGTGTTATAGGATTATCGTGTTATCCGAGAGCTATCGCAATTTCAGTTTCGTGCAATATGAAAACCGCGTTCCCAGAGTACTGTGTTAACGGAGGGTTGAATTTGTAGGGTAGAGACATCAATATCTCAGAAACTAAATGTGTTGAAAGATGTATTGCTTTTGTAAGTTAGATTCAACAGTTATATAAAAGCTAACGTGTGGGTAGGGTAAAAAGAACCAACTAAACCTTTATTTTGGCCGATAAGAAATAGTATATAAATAAGTAAATTAAATTAAAAAAAGCAATTTTTCAATAAATAAATTAAATTGATTATTTGACTTCTGCCAATGATTTTTTTTTTTGAATTACCAGTTCAAAGTTATATACAATGAAATATTTGTAGAAAATGTTCCCATAATATTCGTGTTTTACGTTGGTTAAACAATATAACTATTATGTTTTAAAAGCCCTTTGAACTTTAAAAAAATACATTGGATCTGTTTGCCTTCTGGCTGTCCCTTCTTATCCCATCCATGGGACAAAAAGGGACAGATGACAAGTTTTAGAAACAAAGTAAAAAAGACATATTTCTGTAATTAGGAATTTCCTGTGAATTTTACTGAACATAGTTTAATGGTTGTTTGTTCGATACATGATGTGTGTTGTCATGTAGTTCATTTAGTTTTTAAACAGTATTATTACTAAAAGTCAGATTGGACCTTTGTGCTTGGCCCTACCCTATCAATCAGTAATAATTTTCGTGTGGTCTACCGTCTTGGATCTAGTAATTTCCAGTTATAAATTTACTTTAAAAGTTAAAAATGTCATTTAAAACAATTTGTTATAGATACAGAAAAATGTTCAAATGTTACACACAAATGTTCAAATTGCTATTTAAGGGGGGGGGGGTTTCATTAATCACGTGATCGATTTTTTAAGGATTTTTAGACTCCTCTCCCTT